GCTACATAGTGGACTGGTCCACCGTGTTAACGATTAGGCCTTTTTGGCTACCATTCTGCCTATCCCGAGTTTGGAATGTCTTCCGACTAAGTGCCAGAAGATAGTCAGGCCGCATGCATTTCTGACTACCAAGTAAACAAATTGGAGCAAAGCCCAATTGACAGACTTCCCACAATAATGTTGATAACAACAGGAGGAGTCGAACCTTGGAGAGGAGGGGTTGCACCCAACCAGTTGTGATTCACTGATTCTTGTTGAATCACTTGGGAACGTAAAGATTAACCTAGAAAAATCAGCGATACACGTTAGCACGAATTATGTTCTTATCGTAGTTTGACAATATAATTATTTTAGGAGAATAGCAAAAGCTAAAACTCGCACACATGTAAAAGACCAGTGTCCTGCTTATGCCTTCTAATGATATAATCATATAAGATAATTTCCTCATATTAAATTGCAGTTTAATTACGTAAATAACAGAACTAAAAAATTAGTATGTAATTAACATAAGTAAGTATATCTGAATATGGCAAACATGTGAATCAAAAATTCCTAGGCCATATATAGAAAACCAAACCAGATATTAAAATCAAACAAAATTGAATGATATTGATAGATTGTGAATAAATGGGTGTTAGGTCCATCAAATTCCTCCATCATACATTCTACGTCATAACTATTACATTTATATCTACATATACATTTTTATAGTACATTTTTGCTTTAATTCTTTTGGATCCGGGTTTGACCCGGTTTTAGTCTATTCGGATCTTGGATAAGCAATTTTAGGGATGTTGTCTTAATTTCAAACTGATAAATAAAGTCATGTTGTCTTTAATTCATTTACATATCCTATACTATTATTTGGGGAGTACACTTTATAACATACCCTTAACTAACCTTTCCTTTTGTAAAAAATTACTTAAGAATGCCATTAGAAATAAAATTTTATAAAGTAAATTAATTCAACTCATTAAGGATAAACAAGTCAAATACTATTTTATGTAATTTAATTAATTTAATTTAAGTATAAAAACGAAAATCTATCATTAATTTCTTTTAAAAAATGACCAATCAAAATGAGCATATAAGATTTGATATCTAACTTACCATATCAATTTGTTATTAATCATTATACTCCACCTCTCATCTTTATATGATTCTATTTATATAAATAAATAAATCATTATATCATCTATATAATAAAAAAAAAAGTAAATTTTTTTCCGCATATACAAAAATTTGAATTTTTAAAAACGAGTATAAATTATTCAATGTATGAAAGAACAAATTTAACGGGTCAAAATTCATATTTGAGTAATATATTCTTTTTTTTTAGTATCATCAATACTTAATAGGTCAAAAATTTATGAAGTATAAATACTCTAATTTGATTTTTCGAAACAAATATTTATAATAGGCGGCAGATTGAATATAATATATTATATGATGAAATGAGTTATGATCCTTATAACTATTTGAATATTTATATTTAATTTCATATCATTTTTTTTTAATTCATAATTTTACCTACTACAATAAAATTTTTTAAAGATTTTAATTTGGAACATTTTAAAAAAGTTTAATTTAATATATTAAAGAATATCATAAATATTTAATAGATTAAAAAGATAAAAAAAATTATAAATATATTAATTTGATTTTCTAAAAAAAAAAATGTTTAAAATATTTATAGTAGACAGCGGGTTAAATGTAATGTATTATATGGTAGAAAGTTATGATCCTTATAACAGACAGCATTTTAAGTTTTTATGATGAGATGGGTTAAATAAGGTTTAGCACTTCTAAATATTTGAAAATTTGATTCTGTAAGCAATTTTGAAAATAATAAATAATAGATTGTGCCGCAATATTTTCATACGGATTGTAAAATGAAAATATAGACTCCACACACGGATTGAATTTGGTATTATTATATACCAAATATATGTTCGTAACATATTTGATTATGTGAATTTTTTTTTTTTCTGCAAACTAAATATATTAATTAACTGGAATTGTTACAAAGCATGTTTCTGAGCCACAAAGGCTGATTCACCGAGTCAGAATAGAACTCTGTAGTGTTACAAGTAAAGGAAGCGAGACAATGTGCAATGCTATTACAATGACGTCTTAAAAAGGTGAAGAAAACTGAAGAAAATCTAGATGACCAAAGATCAATATCAAGTAAAAGGTTTGCAATCTCGCTATGTGATAACATGCCTGTGATCGCCTTGATAAGAATCTCGCAATCTCCTTCAAATTGGATCTTCTTGTACCCTCTAATCCAAGCTTGCTGCATAGCCACTAACAATGCCTTTGTTTCCTCCTCCAAAGGAGAAGAAATGTGCGCAAGTTTTGATGAACCCCATGCTTTAGCTTCTCCATGATGATCTCGAATTATCCAACCGGCTGTACCCCGAGATGAATTGATATCTACACTTGCATCAAAGTTACATTTAACGAAAAATAAAGGTGGCTTTGTCCAAGAGGATGTCTGAGTTTGAAACTGCCTTGTTTCCGAAGGTATCGCAGATCATGACCCCAACGTGTGTAACCATTCTTCCACTTCAGCTTGTGCTTGTAGAACGATCCGTGTTGGGCTTTCTCTGAAGTTATTAAAGACCAATTTGTTTCTAGCCTTCCAAAGTTTCCATATAAGCCAAAATGGGAGAAGTTTTTGAGCTTCGGTAAGATTCTGGTTGCCATAAGATTCGATTATATGGGATACATTTTCCTCTGAATTCTCTGAGAATTGATGTCCATTCAGCACCGGAGAGTTTGAAAGACGCCACGTTAAATGTGTGAAATTACAATTGAACAGAACATGGCTGATCGTTTCTTCTTCAGATGGACACCGCGGGCAATGTGGGTCGATTTTCATTCCTCTTGAAGTTAATCTAGATCAAGTAGGAATAACTCGTGATGTTATCCTCCATAGCATGTGTTTGATTTTCGGAATGATCGGAAGTTTCCAAATTTTATTCTTCAATTCCACTGAACCATGCGGAATGGCTGGTTTAGTTTGTGTATCCATAGGGTCGTGTGTAAGATGCCAATAACCCGATCGAACAGTATAAACGCCAGAGGTGGTGTAATGCCATATCATTCTATCAGGAGGTTCATTTCTGGAAAGATATATGTTGTGAATGAAGCTATGATCACAAGGATCAATGCCTTGGAGAATTTTTTGGCTATTCCAAAATCTAAATGAACCTTCTTTTGATATAAGATGGCTTACTGTATTCGTCATTTCTGTACCTATTGTTCTAATTGGTCGCGGTGGGTGAGCATCGATCACATTGTCTTTATCTAGACGAGCTGTTTTTCCGTCACCAATAAGATATCTACTGCCTTTTTTATCACATCCAATCCCGCAAGCAGAGATGTCCATCCATAAGATTGGTAACTTCTTTGTTTTGCATCCAATATACAATCGTCTTTGAAGTACCTTGCTTTCATTATTCGAGCAAAGAGAGAGTTGGGATATTGTATTGTTCGCCATGCTTGTTTTGCTAATAAAGCATCATTAAACTTCGATAGATCTTTAAATCCCAAACCCCCTTCTTTTTTCGAATATTGCAACCTTTTCCACGCAATCCATGGAATCCCTCTCTTCTTTGCATCCTTTTCCCACCAATAGTTCATGAGAACACCCTCTATTTCATCAATAACTCCAGCTGGTAATTTAAAGCATGACATCGCATAAACCGGCATCGCCATAGCCACCGATTTCAACATAATTTCCTTTCCGGCTGGTGATAAATGCTTTGCACTCCAACTTGAAGTTCGTTTTTTAACTCTTTCAATGATGTAATCAAACATTTCTCGCTTTTTCCGACCAAATTGTTCTGGTAGGCCCAAATATTTTCCTCCACCACCATGATTTTTGATTCCCAGAATCTGTTTTAGTCTATTTTGAGTAGTACCATGGACCTTTGAACCGAAGGTTATCATTGATTTGGTCATATTTATTTTTTGGCCGGAGTAGTATTCATAGATGTCAAAAACATCTTTTAAAGCTTGGCAGTTCCTACTATTGGCTTAACAGAAAAATAAAGAGTCATCCGCGAATTGAAGATGAGTGATACTTGGAACTCCCAATCCAATTCGTATCCCCCGAATATCTCCATCCGCAGCTCTAGAATCAATGATTATGTGAATAATTGGTAAATTCCATTATTAGCTCAAACAAATCTCTATTTTAACAACCAATGAATCAGAATTTGAAAAAATAATTTCCTAAATTAATTCAAAATAATAGCTAATTTTTTAAGTAATTCAAAATAATCTACGTTTTAGATGCGATTTATTTATAATATTTTGATTTTTGATCTAACTAAATTATATACACTCTTATTTTGTGGTTGTTAACACAAATTAACTCATTGTTCAAACAAATTTAATTTTTTTTAAATAATCTTATTTTCCGTTTTCATATCTTAAAAAAATATACATAATTGAATACTATAGAAAAAGGAAAATATATTCATTCTAATATTATATATAGGGGCTGACAAAAAAATATTATTTTTTCACTTATTATAATATATCATACCTTTATTCTAAAACATAAAATTTATAAATTTTGTGATAAATGAAATTTAACCCGTACTGTAGTACGGGTGATGATCTAGTTCTTATACTATTTCCATATTAATCATCTCCGGATACTTAGCATTTACCATTCGCAGAATTCAGTTTGTTATTATTACCTAAACTAATTGCCACATTAATCGTAACTTAATAACTTTATTCTCTAATTGATTTCGAATATATTCACAATCTAAACTAATTAATATCACATATCTTATCTCATCTATTGTTCCTTTAAATTCTACTATACAATCTTTTAAACAATTCAAAGAAAGAGTGGTTGGATTAAAATCCAAACTAAAAACAAAACAAAATCACAAAAATCATTTTAAATCTTTTCATATTAACTTTACATAAAACACTAACATTTATTTTTAACAGATCAATCTATATTAACATTTTTACAGTACTTTTTTGCTTTAATTCTTTTGGATCCGGGTTTGACCCGGTTTAATTCTGTTCGGATCTAGAATAAGAGATTTAAGGGATGTTGTATTAATTTCAAACTAATAAATAAAGCCATGTTGTCTTTAATTCTTCTACTTATTTTTACCAAAATCAATTCAAATAACATCTCTCATACCTTAAGTATATTTTCGCCAAATGCAATCTCCGTTGTTCCTTTATTTTCGCCAAGGCAATCTGCATTAAAGTTATTTACAGTATCTGTCAATTTAAATTCCTTCCAAATATGTTTTGATGCTCTACTAAGCTATTATTTCGCACTTGACATATTCATAAACTATTTCCATAATCAAATATCGAAATGATGCTAATAATACCTAATTGATTCTACTAATATTTACACAATCAAAACAAATAACTGCTCACAGACCATATCATGTCTATTTAAATTACTTCCAAATATGTATTTCCCTCTACTAATTGAATTTATGTTTCCCGCCTATCCTCTGTTCATATCATTCCAGAGTATCTTTACATTATCTTCTCCTTCCCAAATATTTCTGATGATCACATCCTATTTATTGCTAACCATTTATCTAACTTCCATAACTATAGCAATGCTAAGATTTTATGCCGATTTGGTCAAGATTGCGATACCAATATGCTTTGTGATCAAGTTTTCTTTAACCTAATATATGACCCTATATATAGTTCCATGTCTAACCTCTCATTATCATCAGCCCTCACAGCCTCTAATCTAAACATTAGATCTTACCATACACCATCAAACAATGGCTGCTGCAACATTTGCTTACCTCAAAGATGTCAGGCCATACACCACACAATGGAGAGTCCAAGTGAAGGTACTTCACTCCTGGCGGCAGTACACAGCCAGCACTGGTGAAACTCTAGAGTTGGTGTTATCTGATATGGAGGTAATTCAGTAGCCAATGTTAACTGTGAATTAGTTTACATTAAACCATTTTAAAGCTATTATTTTTTCTGACTCTACTGTTTTTTGTTCTTTCACAGGGCAAGAAGATTCATGCTACTGTGAAGAAAGAACTGGTGAGCAGATATGTCTCAAGTTTACCTGTTGGTCATTGGGTTTTCATTGAGATCTTTGCTCTCAATTATGCCAGTGGCCAATTCCGTCCAACCTCTCATCTATATAAGATGACTTTCACAAATGGAACTCATGTATTTCCATGTGATCCTGTCTTTGACTCAAGTTACCTGACACTAGCCAGTTTCAAAAGAATTCAAAATGGAGATCTTAATCCATACATATTGGTTGGTAAGTATATTTTTTATTTATATATATATTAAATGCGATAAACAACAGTTTACAAACAGATCATGAAATATGTTTACCTCTGCTTTTCTTTTATAGATGTTATTGGCCAGATTGTTATGATTGGAGAGTTGTTGACTCTTGAGGCCAACAACAAACCAACTAGCAAGATTGAGTTTGAGATGAGAAATGAGACGTAAGTGTTTTCAATCTTTTATCCATATATCTACTATGGATCCTACATAATATGTTCTGTTTTGTAAATAAAAAGTGATGAAAGGATCGGTGTTACCTTGTGGGGATCATTTGCTGAGACTGTGTACAGAGGAAGCCAAACTGCTGGTGGGCGTCCTGTTGTATGTTTGTTGAGGTTTGTGAAGATCAAATCCTTTAAAGGTACATAAAACAGAATCTTACCAGCCTTAATAATATACTGATACTGTTTAGAGCAAAGTCATGGTGCATACATCTTATTAAAATTCTACAGGTGTAAAGACTTTGTCTAACTCATTTGATGCTTCACAAGTTTTTGTGAATCCAGCAATCCCTGAAGTTGCTGTGTTTGTTCAAAGGTAATCATTTCATGTGATTTAAATCTTTAGCCTACTTATATAGATGTACTATGGAACTAACCTATATATTTCATGTTGTTGACATATAGTCTCCCAACTGATGGTGCACTGTGTATCTTTCGTGAAAGAGTCCCAAAGTTTGAGATTGTTGTTGCCAATCAGGATGATACTTCTTTAGATCATCCTAGGAAGACCATTTTGGATCTCCTTAACTCTGTCGAGGTAATTATTTGAGTAAGCTATCATTACAAATACTTTTTAATGTCTATAAATATCCATATTCATATCTAAAGTTTTTGTTAGATTGGCAAGGCAAGGTTAATGTGTACTATCTATGCAATTGATACCGACTGGGCATGGTATTACATTAGTTGTCGTGCTTGCAACAAGAAAGTCACACATATCCACCATGGAGTGAATGGTGTGAATAACAAAGGGAAGAAGCCGAGGTTCTGGTGTGACACTTGCAAATCTGTTGTCACTAATGTCGTGGCTAGGTGAAAAACTACGTTATTGACATTTTATTATTCTGTAAATGTAAAATAGATATCTTACATAATTGTTTACATTTGATGCAGGTTTATGCTCTATGCTAATGTGATGGACAACACTGGTGAGGCTAAACTGTTACTTTTTGATTCAGTTTGCTCTGAAATCATTGGCGAGTCTGCTCCATCTGTGCTTAATGGTTCCGTTGATGAGGTTTCATGAACTACTTTATATTTAAATATATGTCTACATTGTATTAGTCACACAAGTTCCTGATATGTTTTAAATTTTAGATTGATGACCCAAACAACATACCAGATGCAATTAGGAATCTATATGGAAGGACATTCCTTTTCCTGGTGTGTGTTGAGAAAGAGAATATCTGGGATGGGAAGGAGATATACAAGGTCTCTAAAGTTTTGCAGAAAGATGGCCTTTTGCTTGAAGAACAGTTGCTGGAAGATTCTCAGGAGTTGGTCAATCCTGCATCTATAGTGTCTGGTGATCAGGTAATTGTTGTGACAGAACATTTTTGAATAACACAAGCAGAAGTACATGGATCCTTTCACCAGCTAGGCTATAGTACTAATTTCATCCTTTGTTTAACTACAGGTGCCACTAATGCTGGAGATGAGTCAAGAGACTTCTGACTCTGTCACTCCATCATCTAAACGTGTGTATGCCGACATTCCCGGTTCTTCTGATCATTCTTCTTCTTCTAAGAAGTTGTGCATTGAACCTATTGACTTTGGTGATCAAGATTCTATTCCTAAAGATCAAGAGGGAAATGTGAAGGACATAGCTCCCAATGTTTCTGTGGTGATTAAGGATGATGCTATCAAATATGACCATCAGATTAACAATGTTGTATCCAATGGTGGAGTGGGCACACTTGAGGTGAAGAAGGAGGGAAAAAGTGTTAAAGGTGGTGTGAAGGTCAAGGTTGAAAAGAAGTGAACAATGGTTGCTGTGAACCGGTTTATTCCATGCTTTGTTTTCTTATTGCTTTCAGATTTCTAAGACTTTGCTTTCTTTTATTTCTTGCTATTCTGTTTTCTGTTTCCTTTCTATTGTTACTCTTTCACGAATGCAACTAGCTTTCACTATATCATTTCTTTTATTTATATTCTTATTCTATACTAGAATAGCAATAATAATAAAAAAACTTAATACTACAACTTCATCTATATACCTAATTCATTTGTCTAATAATAGACATACAAATGAATATATAGATATAACTAAATGAGGATATTAATTAACTTGATATATATACAGGATATTAAAATTATGTAATATTAATATATAATGTCTATATATAATGTACACGAAATCATAGTTACTTTTAATTTGGGAACTTCGATAAGAAATCATGCAAAACATATCTAGCTTCCATAAGTAACAGGTAACTTGATAAAAGATAAATCTACAATGTACAATGTGTATCTTTAAAAGTAATCATTTGGTAACTGACAACTTTTTCAATCATTACCAATGATTCTCTATAATCTAAAAAATATCGTCTATATTGTTAAAACAAGTAATAACGTTTCGATTTCCTCTTTATTCTTTAAAAATTTTATGCCTCTTACTCAATCTCTCTATATAACCAACTTCACCTATCGTGAAGCACATACAGAGAGAAACATTGTAACTTCGCTTTTCAAAGCAGAGCAGAATAGTTAAAAAAATGGTTGATATGCATCTTCTTTCCCAAATTCGCGTTAACTCTACAGATTGGAGGGTTTATGTTAAGATAATGCGTATCTGGCATCACAATCCACCATTGAATGGTGATTTAACCAACATGATTCTCGCAGATGAGAAGGTTTTTTTGAAATTCTTACCTTCTGTTTTAAACATAGTGAAGATCATCTTATGAGTTTTTTTACTTACTGTCTGTTAACGTTTTTTTTTTTTTTTTAGGGTAATTTCTGCGATGCAACAATTCCTAGAGACAATTACATGTGGAACTTTCAACCTGGACTCAAAGAAGGTTTGTGGTATTACATGTCTGACTTCCAACCAGTCGTGCCCTCAGAATACCAAACCAGATTTGCAGCCATGCCACTTCAGATTAGGTGTATCAGACAAACAACCATTTGGCCTGTTAGATCTAAGGGTTATAGCAATTTCTTTGATTTTGTGACTCCTGATGCTTTCAGAAACCCTCATCCAGATGATGGAACCTATGTGACTGGTAATAGAAGACACTTTGTTCAAGTTATATAGTTATCTTTCTATATGTCTTTCTGACCATTATGTGTTGTGTTTTTAATTAGATGCTATGGGTGTGATCTCTGCTGTTTCAACCATCGGAAGGTTTCCATTTGTTTGTCGTCCTGGGGAGACAGATTATGAAGCTCGCTATGTTTGTTTCAAGATTGCTAACAATGTGTAAGTTATCAATATTTCTGTCTATTTTTGTACAAGATAATGAAGTTTGTTATCATGTTTTATCTGGTAAAAACAATATGCTTTAATGGCTACATGAAATCTAGGGGTGAGACTATCAAATGCGTTGCTATTGGTAAGTGGTGTGAGTTCTTTGTCAACGCTTGGTCCAGGAGAATTAGCTCTGTAGACTACAACTATGATAAGATAGTTGCAGTCTTGCGTTTCTGGAGGATCTCATCGTACTGTGGTAGGTTTTAATGAGAGTTTGCTTTTGCTGAGCTTATATTTGCATTGTTATATTGACTGTGTTCATTATTGTACTATAGGAAACAATGTCTTAATGAGTGAATCTTGCTGTTCACGTCTGTACATTGATCCCATTTTCTATGAGCTAGACATACCAAGCTACCTGTAAGTATCATTTATATTTTAGACTTCTTTAATGTTTTCATTTTTCTGTGTTAATATAAATGCAACTATTTTCTGTTAGGCGCTCATTCGAAGATACTTCAAGTGATGAGGAAGATGTCATGATGGAGATGGTTGAGGAGAACTAATAGTTGTGAGGAATATCGGTGGATATGCTACGGTGGCTACCTCTTATGGAGAACTTGAATTTTAGGTGTTATGTTTTCAGTTTCCCTTTTGAACTCTGAATGTTTTTTAATTTTCTTTTGGTTTTATTATCTACTACTGCAACTCTGCACAAGAGTTTGCAAACTATGTTTCTCTTTAATATTTTAATCTGTATTGATATTGGGCTACAAGTTGTGTGGTTTTTTGATATTTTGATGTCTACAAGTTTAAGACTAAAGCCTATTTATATATAAAGGTTACAACTTAGTTATGAATTTAATTCAAACTAAATCAGAAACCTAAATATTTTGGAAAATTCGTTTACTTTAGTCAAGTAAATGATTTGGTTTAAGAAACTGTTTTGAAAGCATACCTTATTTATTGGTATTGGTATGGTTTAGAGAAGCATCAATCAAGATCTTCATTGCCTCCTGTATTTCCTTAATCTGCGCAATTATCAACCAAACTTAACTTTAAAAACTTATCAATTATTATATGAATCACTAACAAAATAATTGAACAGATTATGAAAATATTCTCATTGAACCATCTAACTTTATCTCAATGCCTAGAATATAGAAAGTAACTATATTTTCTCAACAGATCAATATTAGTGGATTGCTGGCGTATCTGCCATTTTGTTACTTTAGTCAAGTAAATGATTTGGTTTAAGAAACTGTTTTGAAAGCATACCTTATTTATTGGTATTGGTATGGTTTAGAGAAGCATCAATCAAGATCTTCATTGCTTCCTGTATTTCCTTAATCTGCGCAATTATCAACCAAACTTAGCTTTAAAAACTTATCAATTATTATATGAATCACTAACAAAATAATTGAACAGATTATGAAAATATTCTCATTGAACCATCTAACTTTATCTCAATGCCTAGAATATAGAAAGTAACTATATTTTCTCAACAGATCAATATTAGTGGATTGCTGGCGTATCTGCCATTTAATTTCGAAAAGGCTATTTCAATATGAAGGTCATTGATTATCAAAAGCACCATTTTGCATAAACTCGCTGTGAGTCTTTTGTTTTCAATTATGAAAAAAAAGCCTGACTACCCTCTTATAGACTTGAACTCTTCACCTAAACCAGCTAAAAGATCCCGTGTTATTCAAACTCCTACATCGCAGAGCCAAATTACTCAAACTTATGGCGCTAAGTCTAACTACCCTCTTCTAGACTTGAACTCTTCACCTACAACAGAGGAAAGAGTCCAGGTTGGTCAAACTTCACCATCACAGTGCCAAATTACTCAAGCTTCTTGCTCTAAGACTAACTACCCTCTTCTAGACTTGAACTCTTCTCCTAAACCAGATAAACGAGTCCAGGTTGGTCAAACTCCAACATCACAGAGCCAAATTACTCAAACTACTATCTGTAAGCCTAAGCACCCTCTACTAGACCTGAACTCTTCTCCTAAACCAGCTAAAAGATCACGTGTATTTCAGACTCCAACACTACAGAGCCAAATTACTCAAGCTAATGTCTTGAACACAAATAGTTCTGTTCCACTCAAATCAGCCTTTAGCAGAGTGTTTAGAGATATTACCAATCTTCCTTGCAGAAATGATGACACACGTAAGACCCCTCCCAATCAGCAGCAATCATTTCGTGCAAAACAGACACATCAAACACTTGGTACTGCTCTTCCTACTTCAGGCTTAGGTAAACCGTCAGGCTATACACCTGTTCCAGAAGAAAATAACTGCCATATCAGAAATTTACAAGACGCCTTTGCTAATGCATCATTTTCTCCTACAGACAAAGGTAACAGACATCTCTTAAGATACTGTCTTACTTTTCAGAGTTTTTCCATCTACTACCTAAATACATTACTTAATAATATCTGTTTTTTTCTTCATAGGAAAAGAAAAAGAACCCGTACTACCAACCTTTACAGACTGTAGCACTGATGATGAAAGTATAGAGGATATTAATTATATTGGAATGAATGACAGTGAATCTGATGGTACACAAAACTACTCTGTTAGCAGCACAGAAGATGAATTAGAAGAATGTTACTCGGCTCCTATTCAGGAACCTCATGTTGAACAGATATTTAATTCTCCACAAGAAGTTATTGATTTGAATTGTTCAGCTGATGAATCAACTGTTGAATTCACTACTCCCACTATAAGTGTTAGTAGGAAAAGTGTAGAAAGGAAAGCAGTTACTCAAACTATAAATCAGCCTAAGAAAAGAGGTCGGCCAAGAAAAAATGTCCCCACAAAGAGGGCAGCAGCAAAAGCAAAGAAAACAGGTTAGAACTTATTGCATACCTTTTTATTTAACTTTATTTGATTTTCATATAGCATACTTATGAAAAGTAAATATTAGTAACACTCTATTTTACCTTTAGGCTATCTAGATCATGGTGATCCTACATACAAGTGTAAGTATTGTGGTGCTTTGATGTGGTTTGATGAGCGCATAAACAAAAGAAACATTCGTACCGATCCCATATTTACACTCTGTTGTGGTCAAGGCACAGTGAAATTGCCATTTCTCAAGGAATCACCAGAGCTTATAAAGAAGCTTCTTAAAGGGAAAGATGCAATCAGCAGAAATTTCAGAGAGAATTTACGGATTTATAACATGCTCTTTGCAATGACCTCCCTTGGTGGGAAGGTAGATAAATCTATGCCTAAAGGTAAAGGACCTGCAATGTTTCGATTGCAAGGAGGAAACTATCATCAAATTGGTGGATTAAAACCTGCTGCTGGGGATTATGCTAAGTATTCACAACTTTATATAGTTGATACTGAAACTGAAGTTGCTGAGAGAGCTACTGTGATTGGGTAAGAGTTATAATAGTATTTTAAGACCCAAAATATTGATATATTACCTTTGCTACTATATTAAGATGTACCTTAACTAACTATGTGTTTTCTTATTATCATTGCAGCAAGGGTAAAAACCAAAGCTCTACCTCTTGGAAAAAAAAAGTGAACAAGGAACTGATTGAAGCAATAATAAAAATGCTTAATGATTCAAACCCTTATGTCAAAAAATTCAGGTCTGCAAGAGAGAGGTTTCAATCTAATGATGATTCACCCTTTCATATGCGTATTGTTGCTGATCGTCCGGGTGTTGATGGGAGGCAATACAATATGCCTACAGCAGCAGAGGTTGCAGCTTTGATCCCTGGTGATTTCATTCCTGACATGCCAGTTCGTGACATAATACTTGAAAAATCCTCCAATGGTCGCCTAAAGCGGATAAGCCAGATTCATATTTCATATTTGGCTCTACAATACCCTCTAATCTTTTGTTATGGTGAAGATGGCTACAGGCCTGGTATTGAGAAGTGTTACAAATCAAGCACCAATAAGAAGAAAAAGTGTATAAGTATGAGGCAGTGGTTTGCTTTCCGCATTCAAGAGAGGGAAAATGAGTGTCATACTCTGCTTGAAACAAAGAGGTTGTTCCAACAGTTTTTGTGTGATGCATATACAACTATTGAATCAAACCGCCTTGCTTATATCAAGTTTAATCAGTCTAAGCTACGATGCGATAATTACAACTCCATTAAAGAAGCTGCTAACTCTGGAAACAAAGATTTAGCTGAAGAAGGAAATCAGATTCTTATTCCAGCATCGTTTACTGGTGGACCTAGATATATGGTCCAAAGCTATTACGATGCTATGGCTATCTGTAAGCGTTATGGTTTCCCTGATCTTTTCATTACCTTTACATGTAATCCTAAGTGGCCTGAGATTACAAGATATTGTGAAGCAAGAGGATTAACTGCTGATGATAGACCCGACATCGTGGCAAGGATATTTAAAATCAAGCTGGATTCTTTAATGAAAGACTTAACAAAAAGGAAAATGCTTGGCAAGACAGTTGCATGTAAGTTTTTAATTCTACAGTGTCAGTTTCAATTAGAAGAATACAGAAAATTATATTTGTTGTCCCTAACAATTGATTTGTTTCCACTTCCAGCTATGTATACTGTTGAATTCCAGAAAAGAGGATTGCCTCATGCTCACATCCTCTTATTTATGGATGCTAATAGTAAACTACCAACAGCTGACGACATTGACAAGATCATTTCTGCAGAAATTCCAGACAAAGAAAAAGAACCAGAGCTATATGAAGTTATCAAAAACTCAATGATTCATGGACCATGTGGCTCAGCAAATCCCAATTCTCCGTGTATGGTTGATGGCCAGTGTTCTAAGCTTTATCCTAAAAAACATCAAGAGATCACTAAGGTTGGTATTGATGGTTATCCTATCTATAGGAGGAGGGTCACAGAAGATTATATCGAGAAAGGTGATGTTAAATGTGACAATAGGTATGTTGTGCCTTATAATAAGAAGCTCTCGCTTCGCTATAATGCTCATATCAATATCGAATGGTGCAATCAGAATGGTTCTATAAAATACTTATTTAAGTATATAAACAAAGGCCCAGATCGTGTTTCAGTTATCGTTGAGCCATTGAATCAGGCATCAACAGGGGAAACAGCAACTGATACTACAGCAACTGGTGCTACAGCAACTGGTGATACAACAAATCCAGCTCAAGATCCAAATTCAAATGAGAAAAAGAAGAATGAAATAAAAGATTGGTTTGACTGCAGGTATGTTATGAACTTAACCAAATGTAAATTAGTGAGTTTTTATCCTGTTACAATTTTATTTATTCAGTTTTTTTGATGTCTATAGATATGTATCAGCTTCAGAGGCTGTTTGGAGAATTTTCAAATTTCCTATTCAACATAGATCAACCCCAGTCATGAAATTATCTTTTCATGTGGAAGGAAAGCAACCAGTATATTTCGATCCAAAGGGAAACATAGAAGATGTTATTGAACGTATATCCAATGAGGATTCTCAGTTTATGGCTTGGTTGACATTGAATAGAAAAAATGCAGTTGGAAAGAATGGAAAGCGTGCACGAGATTGTCTATATGCGGAAATACCAGCCTATTTTACTTGGGACGGAAAGAACAAGTTGTTTAAGAAGAGATCTAGAGGCTGGTCTTTGGGTCGTATTAATTATGTCCCTAGGAAAATGGAAGATGAATACTATCTTCGAGTCCTCCTAAACATAGTCAGAGGTCCACAGAGTTATGATGACATAAAGACATATAAAGGTGTGGTTTATCCATCTTACAAAGAAGCATGTTTTGCACGTGGCATATTAGATGATGATCAGGTCTACATAGATGGTCTGATTGAATTAGGTCAGCATAGTTTTGCTCCTGTTTTGAGGAATTTTTTTTCAATGCTGCTTCTTTCTATGTCTCTAGCAAGACCAGAACATGTTTGGTCAGCAACATGGCATCTATTATCTGAAGATATTTTGGCTAAGAAGAAAGAAGAGTACAATAATCCAGGTTTATGATCCATTTCTCTACTATTTAAATAATGTTTTCAGTCCAATTCAGAAATCGTCTGTTTTAACTTCCACAATACTATTTGCAGACCTTACACTCACAGAAGCTCAAATAAAGAACTACACCCTACAGGAGATAGAGAAAATTATGTTGTTCAATGGAGGAACTCTAGAAGATTTTGATCATTTCCCTAAGCCTACAAGAGAGGGGATTGATAATTCAAACCGTCTTATTGTCGATGAGTTGAGATATAACATCGAATCTAACTTGGAAGAACAGCATGTCGAGTGGAGAGACAAGCTAACTCCTGAACAGAAAGGTGTATACAATGAGATAACCGGCGCAGTATTCAATGGTTTAGGTGGAGTTTTCTTTGTTTACGGCTCTGGAGGAACAGGGAAAACATTTATTTGGAAGACACTCTCTGCGGCTATTAGATGTAGAGGTCTAATATGTCTTAATGTCGCCTCCAGTGGCATTGCTTCTTTGTTGTTGGAAGGAGGAAGAACCGCACATTCAAGGTTTTCTATTCCATTGAATCCTGATGAGTTTTCTGTTTGCAAGATCAAAGCTAAATCAGATTTGGCAGATTTAATTAAAGAAGCATCTCTCATAATCTGGGATGAAGCGCCAATGATGAGCAAGTTTTGTTTCGAAGCTTTAGATAAAAGCTTCTGCGATATTATCAAACACGCAGAGAACAAGGTATTTGGTGGAAAGGTAGTTGTATTTGGAGGTGATTTTAGACAAGTACTACCTGTTATTACTGGTGCTGGTAGAGCAGAAATTGTTATGTCATCTCTAAATGCTTCATACCTTTGGGATCACTGCAAGGTTTTAAAGTTGACCAAGAACATGCGACTACTAAACAACAGTTTAAGTGCTCAGGAAGCTAAAGAAATCCAAGAATTCTCAGATTGGTTGTTAGCTGTTGGTGATGGTAGGATCAATGAGCCTAATGATGGTGAAGTGGTTATAGATATTCCTGAAGATTTGTTGATTACAGAAGCAGACAATCCAATAGAAGCAATTACTAGGGAAATTTATGGAGATCCAACTAAGCTTCATGAAATCCGTGATCCTAAATTCTTTCAAGCGAGAGCTATTCTAGCACCAAAAAATGATGATGTCAACACTATCAATCAGTATATGCTTGAGCATCTGGATAGTGAGTATACTTTAAGTCTTTACTGTTTATTTGGTTATTTTATAATCATTGCTAAGTTGCTACTCTAATCAACTAATCATATCCCTTTTGTTTTCTACAGGTCCAGAAAGAATTTATCTATCTGCTGATAGTATAGATCCTTCAGATTCTGATGCTCTTAGCAATCCTGTTATTACTCCAGATTTCTTAAACAGTATCAAGGTTTCAGGTTTGCCTAATCATGCTTTGCGTTTAAAGATTGGTGCTCCTGTTATGTTGCTTAGGAATTTAGATCCTAAAGGAGGCCTTTGCAACGGCACTAGACTTCAGATTACGCAGCTTTGTAATCAGATTGTGGAAGCAAGAGTTATAACAGGAGACAGAATTGGTGATATCGTTTTTGTTCCTCTCATAAACATTACTCCTTCAGACACAAAACTGCCATTCAAGATGCGTAGAAGACAGTTTCCACTATCAGTTGCATTTGCTATGACTATCAATAAGAGTCAGGGCCAATCTCTTGAGCGAGTTGGACTTTACTTGCCTAAACCAGTCTTCTCTCATGGCCAACTATATGTTGCGTTGTCTAGAGTGACTTCTAAAAAAGGTTTGCGTATACTAATACTCAACAAAGAAGGGAAGATTGAGAAGAAAACAACCAATGTTGTTTTCAAGGAAGTGTTCCAAAACATTGACTGACGCATCAGTACTTAGACTTTCTCTACAGTGAAAGCCTTGAAAGAGGTAAGTTTAGTTACCATTTCCTTTTTTAAGATTTCAGTTATGGTATGCAAAACCACCACACACCATTTTAATGCATCAGTCTTTGTTTTCCTATTGTAGGAACGTGATTTCTAATAAACAAGACAGTTTCAAACTCAAAGATGCAAGGAGATCGGCAATCAAATGTCTATCTTCATACTGAACTAATCTGAAGTCAGTTTCATACTCTTAAGTTCTGCAATTTCCGTTTAAAATAAAACACTGAAACTAAGACACTATTCTTCATACATGATTGGTTTCTGGAGACTAACCTTGCTTTCTTATGGAGTTGATGAATTCTTCTCTTTCTGTTTTTTTTTACTTCTCTGTCCATCTTCGTAAGACTTTGTGCTGGATTTAGGCTCAGTAAACTAGCATATTTCAAAGTGAATTTAAGATCAATAGTTGAACACGCGTTTATGCTTCTCTTAGAATTTCAGTTAACACTATAATATATTCGTTTACCTGAGTTATAGTAGATTGATTCATTTCTATAAACTACTACCAATTCTACCTATTATTCACCATCAATTACTACATTTTTAACATACCTTAACAAACAATTGTAGTTTCAATCATCGAGTTGAACAATCACTAACCTTTAGAATGATCCGATTATGAAATGAACAATTGATTGATTTGTCTTCTGTACTCCATTGCTTGATTACGCACTCGGTTTATAGCACCAACCTTTACATGCATATACTGAAGTAGCCAGATTATATTCAATGCTGCATGGAGATTTGAATCGCCGGAGGTTTTGCTCTGCTACAATCAAAATCGAATTTGAGAGAACTTATTTGCAATCCGAAACATTAATCGAAATCTTGATAGTATGAGAAGCTTAATTCAGAGCTTGAAGATTGCTGAGGATCGTGAATTGAAGATCTAAGCCTGTCGGAATTGAAAATTCCGTTAAGGCACCGACCGGTTTGGTATCATCTAACCAAGCCATTTCTTCGGTTTTGCTTTTTTTTTTTGTGTTTGGTTTGTTTTTTTTTTTTTTTTTTTTGACCAAATACAGTAATATTAATTTAATTATTCTATACAAACTTTTTTATCTAACTAACTATTACTAATGACATAAATTAAATCCAAAACACTTTATCTTCTAAATTTACACACTTTTAAAATTGTTATATCTTTTCCACCAAAAATATGTTCATATATACCATAAATTGTATTTTTATTAAACACAATAGATTCAAATGAAATCAAATACAATATCTTATTTCTCTAACTTTATAAAATTGGAAATGGCATAATTTGAATACAAGTAACTGATCTACTGGAATTTTTTAAAATCTATTTTAGTAAAATGAAATTGATATATACAACTATATTGAGTTTTATACATTTAAATATATAGAAGTATATTGAGTTTTAAACATCTAAATTGATAAAAAATTCTATGGCAAGGATATAAAATTTTACAATTAATAATTAATAAAATAATCAAATAATATTTATGCCCGCGGTGTACCGCGGGTTAACATCTAGTTAGCAATAATCACGTTGATCTTAATCCATTAATTATTTGCCTAAACAACTAACTGAATTTTATACAACTGTTATAGAAATTTTAGGAAAAATTAATCACTTACTATAAATACATTTTAAAAACGTTTAATGCTCAAATCTTTAGTTAAGATTTTGGAAAGAATAATAATTTGAAAATCAATTTCTACTCAGTTTAGCAAATAATTAATTTTTATTCATTGACATAAATATAGATTACTTAAAATAGATCGTAACAATATTTAATTTGATTTGTTTATTTAATTTCACCCATATAATTCTTAATTTAATTTGTTTATTTTTTCTTGCAAGAAAGTAGAAGTTTATAGCAATCCTCTTTTGATTTGATCTCATTTTTTAAGCGTGAAAGTATTATTGGAGAAAGAGTAATGTGGTGTACTACTTAAGCAAGGATCAACAATAGGAATGTTTTAAAAACAAAATATATATGTAATTTGATCACATTTATATAATAATTTTATGAATTTACTTAGAAAAAGTTTAACTTTATTAAATGTTTTAAATATGTATAATATTAAAACTTTTATGAAGTTTCAAATATTATAAATATTTGAATTTTTAGAAGAATTTATAAAAAGTTTAAATATTATAAATATTTATAAAAGATATTAATACAGGAAACGACCAAAAAAAAAGATATTAATACAGGACAGTATACTACGGGTGAAATCCTAAATATAACAATCAAAATACAATTATGAAGTTTGGGTCGATATTAAAACTTTTATGAAGTTTCAACTATTATAAATATTTGAACTTTATACGAATTTATAAGAAGTTTAAATATTATAAATATTTATAAAAAATATTAATACGAGACGGTATACTACGGGTGAAATCCTAAATATAACAATCAAAATATAATTATGAAGTTTGGGTTGATATTAAACTTTTATGAAGTTTCAACTATTATAAATATTTGAACTTTATAATAAAATGACAAAATGATGTTTAATTTCACGGGACAGAGTTATATGGTGAGACGGGTTTTGGTCGATATTAATATGAGATGATATACTACGGGTAAAATCCTAGAATTAACAATCTAAATACAATTATACAATCTTAAACACTAAACAAAAAAAGACAAACAATATTAATAAAATAAATACAATTTAAAATTTCTAATTATTAGTTATAAAATATTGTTCCAAGGTGTACTATACAGTAGCATATATTTATAGATCATCTTAATAAAAATATTCAATTTTTTTATTTAATAAAAATATAGACCCGCGGTGTACCGCGGGTTAACATCTAGTGTAAAAATACATACTCCTCTTGTATAGTTATTACAATAAAATGTTGCATATAATTACTACCCCTCTTATATATTGCCTCAACTTCCAGCGTTAAGAGTTAAATATGTCTAGAAATTTAAATGTGCCAGCTATATCATTGCCTATATTTTCCTTTCATTAAAAAAAAGATTTCTTTTTTCAAAATAAATTATGTTCAAGTATATGCCCAAATAGATCATTCCAATTTTCTGCATAGTTATTAATTATGCAGAAATCGTCAAAAAAAAAAAGAAAGATTTTGATGCATATTGCTCAAATGTTTTCAATATTTTGCATCTGAGAAAACTCTTAGTTATTAATTATGGATGCAAAATATTACTTATGGATCTTATTATTATTGTTTGTCATATAGCTGATAAGAGTACTGATGTATACAAATATAACTTTTATGAAACAGTTATGATTATATTGATTATATTGTTATCAAAGTATATATTCAACAATAACTATACGTAAATTAAAGATAAGATATATGGTGGGGCACAGAGATCAAGAAATCTTAATGATAAGAGAAGGAGCTTCTATTCTCTCTTACTTTCTTACAATAACACTGTTTTTTTTTTTTCCGTGAAAAAATATAATCCCAAGAGAGTCAAAGTGTCAATTCATCTTCTAATTGAATAAAGTACTCTAACTTCCTAACTCTCATGCCCACTATTTAATTACTTATTGTACAAATTTCTACTATTTAATTAGTAAAACAAATTACAAAATTAACTCTAGGAAATCGTTTAATCCAAGATTCCCGGACGCTGGTCCAAGGGTATCACTGTACAAAATAATTTTTAAAAAAAACTATTAGGCATTTCATTTTTTAATCAATGTATTTTCTGATAAAGGATGTCATATAAATTAAAATTATGCATCTCATAAATAAATAATCTATCTTCAAAACGAACACTTTTTCTAAAATACTATTATTACTCGATAAAAAAAAAAGGTAACAACTCCATTATAATTAATAAGTTAGTCGAAAATCCATCGACCTATGAGAAGCAGGCCAGTTACTATCTCTCACATCTTCCGATTAGGTTGCGGCAGCAAGAAGCTTCAGTCCTCTTTATATTTGCGATGTGTAACTTCTCTTTTGCAATGGTCTCAAACTCTTTGGGTTTCATAAGTTTAACCATAGTGGTGTGCATATCCTCGGTCTAATATCTCTTAACAATTCTTTTTTTATTATAAATACTTATGATTCATTTCAGTTAATCAAGGTTAAAGAAGATATTTAAACACTAGCCTGACACATGAAACTTCGATGCCGAAAGAGCTCTAAGATCAAAGCCGAATCTTTTAAAAACATACACGTGATTTTTGTGTCTCCCAAGACCATCTTAAGCGGTCCATGTTTTCGTTAGAAATCTAGATTAAGTCATTAAACTAATCCGTATCAGTAATTACCAGCTTGCATCTCACAAGTCCATTATTATTTACATATCATCATCACATGCTAGACACAATCAATACCTTATGTCAATATCTAATAAGTCTATAATCATTAATACTTGTATATATTTATACCAGTATATCGTTTAATAAATATTATTTATACCTTTATACATAAATATTCCACTAGGTTCTGAACTTGTAGTACTACTATTAATAACTCCGTCAAATAACTACTCAAAAGAACCTCTTTATCTCTCTCGTTTTATGATCTCTCTCGTCTATCTTCCAAAGAAACAAAAAGAATGAGAAAGAAAGTAAGTAGTAGTGGTGACGAAGGAAACAATGAGTACAAGAAAGGTTTATGGACAGTAGAAGAAGACAAGATCCTCATGGATTATGTCAAAGCTCATGGCAAAGGCCACTGGAATCGTATTGCCAAAAAGACTGGTCTCTTTCCCCTCTCTCTCTCTAATCGTATTGACACTATATATGATTTTTTGTCACGTATGATTTTCTTTTACGAATGGCCTACAGTTAAGGTTCTATATATTATGTTATTTTAGATTTACCTTTTAATCTAAGTTAATAGATTTTTATTATTTTTAAAATTTAGTAAGTCCATATATCGCAAAAGCAACTTGAATCTGGATAATATCTAGTGTTTTTCGGTAGAAACTATTACATTAAGAAGTAAACTTAGTTTATGATCTCGTTAGTACTGTTCAACGGCGAGGATTGATGATCTTATATAGCCTTACCTTTCTTGTTTTTATCTTTATGAATTAAGGTCCTCGGTTAAATAATTGTATCTACGTGCGTTAGGTTTAAAGAGATGTGGAAAGAGTTGTAGATTGAGGTGGATGAATTATCTCAGCCCTAATGTGAAAAGAGGCAATTTCACCGAGCAAGAAGAGGATCTTATCATTAGGCTCCACAAGTTGCTTGGTAATAGGTATAACTTCATTTGCTCAAATTTAGTTTTTATCTACTCAATTAATCTATAGCTATTTCAAGAGAAGAAAAAACAGCTATTTCTATCCATTTTTTACCACGTTAAATAATCATAAATATTCGTGATTGTCTTCACAGACTTGCTTGGTAACACATGTTTTTATTCTCTAATTTCAATACATAATATTTCACATGATAATTATTTCATTGTTTATATGTGTATTTAATTAGGTGGTCTTTAATTGCTAAAAGAGTGCCGGGTCGAACGGATAATCAAGTGAAGAACTATTGGAACACGCATCTTAGTAAGAAACTCGGGATCAAAGATCAGAAAACCAAACAGAGCAATGGTGATATTGTTTATCAAATCAATCTCCCGAATCCTACCGAAACATCAGAAGAAACGAAAATCTCGAATATTGGCGCTAACAATAATATTCTCGGGGATGAAATTCAAGAAGACCATCAAGGAAGTAACTACTTGAGTTCACTTTGGGTTCATGAGGATGAGTTTGAGCTTAGCACACTCACCAACATGATGGATTTTACTGATGGACACTGTTTTTGATGTGTTTCTGCTTTTGTTATTTTAGTATTCGTTTATGCATGTTTTGTTATTTTCAAAGCTGATCAAACACTAATACATCAACAGTCTTAGATTAAAAGTTGTTGATGTGGTAGTGTATGATTGGCTAAGTCTTTTAATTAGGTGTACTTTCTTGGGTTAACTTAAATGTATATGCTTAGCAACTCTATCTCTATGCATCGATAAATGTTTTAATTGTTTCTTCATTTTCTTCCAAAGGAAAATATTTGGATTTTTCTTCTGTGAAGTGTTCATATAAACTTATGAAATATTGGTTAAAGATATAAGCTAAAATTAAAAGAGTCGAACGATAACGGTAGGCTAAAAGGAGTATATTTATTTTATTTGACTTTGAGACGTACGTCCTTTAATCCATAAATTTGAAAAGAAGAAAACCATAAGTGGATACAGAAACTACTACGTACCTTTTTTGTCAACTAAATGTCGATTGCAGTTAAAACGATGCTTATGTGTATGTAAACGAGAAATTAGACACAAACCTTGATTGCCCTGGCGAGTTTACTTGAAACGAAAAAATTAATACTAGTCAGACAATATAATGGGTCAAATTGTCACACGCTTCCCTAAAAAATTCTATAAATTGCTATGACAAAGCTGTCCCCCTTCTTAATAGTTTAATTTATGTTCTTTGTCTTTGGTTTTTAATATGTTCTTTGAAAGCTTGTCCCCCACTCCTTCCTTGATTTTAATTGCACAGACAGTTAGTTATATACAATGCATGCTATTATAACATATGAAATCTATATTCTAAGTGGAAGGTTTTCGATTATCGACATGGGGACATGTTGGTCATGTATAATGGAAATGAAGAGGTTAATATTGATCTTAATGTAGTATGGTAGCCATATCTCTAATCAAGACAAACGGTTTTAACATTATTAATATAGATAGACAAAGCAACATTCAATGAAAATAGCAACTAACATTTTCATTTCTCAATTTTTCGTTTGATAAATATTTATACGATTTTGTTATTTTCTCATGTTCTAAATCAAAGCAACTTAATTAAGCAAAACGATACTATCTGTGAAAATAAACATGATTTTTATTTATTTTATAAGTGGATAATGAAGGAAAAGAAGCTCATGGCAAGTAAATGTCCATTACAAATAGCAAATAAATAAGAGTAAAACATTAAATATATATATATGATGGTGGTGATCATGATGATGACGACGATGATACATGATACTTGTGATGATCACGGTGGTGGTGGTGGCGACGGTGATGGTGATGTGGTAGTTCATATAGAATGAACGGGTGAAATTCCAAACTGGAGTTCCCAAAGCTCAAAGGAGCCATTAACAAAATCATAGTAGCCTCCCTTCAAAGCAAGCGTTCCTTTCACAACTCCTTCTCTCACAAATGGATATGTCAATAGGTTTGCTAGTGATACATTGACTGCCTCCTGTAATATTCATACATTTCATATTAGAAAACATTTCGAATTTTGATAAAGATAATTTAACTATCCAATATATAAATATCCAACATTTCGATATAATATAGTTAAGGTTGATGACTATCTAATATTCTAATGGATTAATAAAGTTTAACTGAAAAATAAATGGAGAATAAGTAAGTAGTAAGTACCCTTTCGCATCGGCCACATTGGTCCTCAAATGCTGAACTTTCACTTTCTGCCAAAACTTTTGACTTTGCTGGTAAACAGATTTTCACCCAATCCTCTATGAAATCACTGCAATTAAAGTAACCATATCATTATAACTACCCATGAACCAATAAGCCGACTCGAACTGGACCATCACTTTTTGTTAAAAGGGGAAAAAAAACTACCCAAAAAAAACACTCTGTTATCATTTTCCCCTAAATAGTAAATCTTGTGAAACAAATTTTTATATTTTAGAAATGTCAAACATAGAAAAATTATTACGTAGAGTTGTTTCCATCAAGAGGAAATGACATAAGCCCCTTGATGCCACCACATGCACTGTGCCCTATCACCACAATGTTTTCCACCTACATTCATAATCATAAATTTCAATAAACATCAATACATATGTATTGATGGATAATATATTCACATCACATAAATCACAATACATAGCAATAGCACACACTAAACGAGAGGAAAAAAAAAGACACGCACTAAACACTTGTTGACACACACAAAAAAAAAAGACACAGCCCGGCCCAATAAGGCCCATATACTTATCTTCGACCGGGCCCATTATCTATCGCCATAGCCGGCATTTTTGCATTCCCGACTCCATGAATACGACTATTCTTTTACATGTATTTTTCTCATGGTACCATCATCCATTTATAAATAAGATGCATCTTACTTTTGTCAATAAGTCATAAGTAAGATTGATATAAACTAACATAGTAAGATGCATCTTATTTCTTATATGAATCAGACAGTTTTTAGAAGGAAAAAAAAAAAGACAAAACAGTCTAAAGAGAGAAGAATGTATATACAGTAAAACCTCTATAAATTAATAATGTTGGGACCATGATATTTTATTAATTTATAGTGATATTAATTTATATATAAATTAATATTTATTAATTTATAGTGTAAATTAATATTTATTAATTTATAGAAAGTTTTGTTTCAATTGTGAATTTTTTTTAAAAAAATACGAGCTAAAGCAATGTGATCTAAATAAAATTAATGTTTTGAATGTTATAAATTTTATATTTTTAGCCTTAAACACTTAATATTTCAAAAAGAAAATAATTTATTTTGACAATGAATAACAACGACTATAGAATTCACAAATAGTGACATCCATTGTTGTATTTTGAAAATCTATACGACTATTAAAACAAAAATTATGCATATTCAAAATTTAAAAACTTACAAAAACTGTTGGCTATTTTTATGAAAACACTAAAACTATTTTATATATATATATATATGTGTGTAAATTTACATGATTATTAATTTATGATATTATTGGGACTATATTTTCACATAAGAATTTCAAAAAACTTATTATCTTATTATCTTATCGAATTTTGTTAATTTTGACATTGCCCCGACTCGGAACCAGCCAAATTTATTAATTTATCGTGTTTATTAATTTATCGAATATTAATTTATAGAAGTAATACTGTAGCGAGGGAGAGATGTTGACCTTAAGGTGCAAGACAGCATATTCAATGGCGGCTCCAACTCCTGCATATTTGACCTGCAATTATATGAATTAAAAAAAAAAAACAGAAAAGCCACGTCATGACTTCATAAGTTAAAGTCAAACACTTCGTTTGAGTCAGAATGTTCTATAATAAATTATTGATGTAAATTAATTAGTGTATTGTAGTATGTGTTACCTTGTCAAAAGGAGGAACCATATTGGCAATATTACGAACCACGAAGGCATCCCCAGGATGGAAGTTTAGTACATGTGATGGGCACACTCGCGAGTCCGAACAAGCAAACACCATGTACTACACAATTCGTAGTAGTATACCATATAATATGAGTTAAAAAAGAAAAATCTAACATTTTCATATAGTATATAATACAATAATTTTCATCAATTGATTTGTTTGTTTTCTTATTTTATTTTACCTTTGGGCTTTGACCTTTGGCGAGCTCACCGTACAAAGCAGGATTGGTCCTGCAAAGAAATTAAGATAAGTATCAATATATCATTAAGTTTCAAATTGTGACTTGATTTTATATTACTAGATTATATGCTACTCTAACGAAAATTTTAAAGCAAGATATATTATTGATTAGAAGAAGAGTGATAAATTTATTAATTACTCGTATTTCTCCTTCTTGAAGGTGACGAAGCCTTCCTTAATTCGTTTGATGGGATCGAAAGACTTGCTGTCGGACGACGAGACTGTCTGAAGCTCCGCCGTGATCTTTTTCACCTTGGCCGCAGCTACATCCTTCAGCTCATCCTTCTCACTACTCGTATATTGTTACACGACATATTATGATACTATACCAAATATACAATAATAATTCCATTCTTTTCATGATCTTCGTTATGATTTTAAAAATCAAAATTTTTCAGTTACTACTATATATATATATATATATATATATGTAATTACTAATTAGCCTCCCACATTACAAAAGTCTTCTATAGGTTTCCAATAACTGCAAATATTTTACTTACATGAGAAGCTTCTTGAGAGCTTCGATGGCGTCTTCATATGATTCGTTTCCCATCCTTCTTCTCTATGCAAGTCATTGACACAAACAAATTATTCATGATGAAAAATAATTCACTTACCAGAAAAAGCAAGTTTCTCATACCTTACCTTAAAAAGTAATTAACTAGAGAGAGAGAATGAGTGAAAAAAAAATATATAATAGTAATGCTTAAAATTGGATCGGAGTTGTATTTATCTTATAACATTTTTAAATAAAAAGAATAAAGCTTTTATCTTATTACCTACATCTATCTCTGCAAATAATATTTGACTATCTAATTTGAAGTAATATAAGATTTAATTCCAAAATAAACAAAATTTATATTAAAATTGGAAAATTTTGTATTGATGGTCAAATTTATAAAGATTTTCATTAAATCATTTGAGATTTAACTCCATATCTAAACTTTATTTCTAAGTTGTAAAAGGTAAAGAATGCTCAGACAATAGTATGGCCCATTACCTAGTAAGTAATTTAACCACTAGTTATATTGAAAACAGAGAGACCGGATTTGATTGTGTTAACAATACATAGTTATCAAAGATTCAAAGATGAACTACAACACAACTTTACTTTTATAAACACACCCATTCAATAACATACTGTATATGGTAGTATATTTGTAGACTTGTAGTACATATAAATCTAAGTACTACATAATTAGCAATGACCATAATTATGCCTGTCTAACGTTGAATGGTTTAAATCTTGAGAGGTAAGGATGTGATGTGATGGACTGATACTGGGAATGTGGCTTTTTTATAGTAATGATTTTAAATTTTAATGAATGTGTTTGCTTTTAGTTCTTCTTTTTTTTCCCTCGCTATAAAGGTTCTGATTTTGAAAAATATATATAGAATTCCCTCTTTACGTTAAAGATAAAAAAAATCACGGATTGTTTAATTAGTAAGAAAAGGAAAGAAATGGAAACACGAGAATATGTTCCAAGATTATTGGAAGTTAGGAGAAAGTACACTCGCACTAACCTCTCTCTTACGTGATTGACCAAGAAATTAACATGCATGTATATATGAACACTAATATAAATGATCTTTTAGTTTTTACTTGTGAT